ATAGATAGATAGATAGATAGATAGATAGATAGATAGATAGATAGATAGATAGATATAAAACTCGTATTCACCATATAGGTCGAATAAGTAAGGAGAGAGTATACAGGTTTGTCTCACCCCTTTGCTGAGCCAGTCCTTTTTTTGCCATGTTGTGTCCATACAGGCTTCCTGACCTGAACATAGGTTTTGCATGAGGACAATGAGATATTCTGAAATTCTCATTTTTCTAAGCGCATTCCACAGCTTGACATGATCAATATAATAAAAGCCTTTCTGTATCAATGAAGCACATTCTGACTTCTATTTGGTATTCTTTGGCTTTCTCAATTATTTAGCAAGCATCTGAAATAATAACTTGTTTTCCTTATCTGGCATCTCTTTTTCCATGTAGGGCTCTATCTGTGTTGGATGATCCGAAGCTTTATTTTGCTAGCATGTGAAATTAAGGATATTATATGATAGTTTGCACACTCTGTTAAGTCTCCTTTTTAGGTATTAAAATGTAGGTTGACCTCTTCCAATCTGTTGGCCACTGTGTCATTCTCCAGATTTGCTGGTATACCTTGGTTAGAACCTTTCCTGATTTTTTTTCTGTTGGTTGCCATATTTCAGTGGGTATTCCATCAGTTCCTGTAGCCTTCTGACTTGGTAATATCCAGAGTGATGATCTATCTTCATCTTCTAGTACTAAAGCTTCTTGTAAGTAGGGAATATCTTCTAAGGTATCTTGGATGTTGACAACTTTGCTGTATAGAACTCCACTATACTCTTTCCATCTTTGTTTGATCTTCTTTGAATCAGTTACTATCTCTAAGTATTACATATGTAGTTGTAATACTGCTTCTTGTCTCTTCTAACAGCTCTCTGAAACTTTTTGTTAAGGTCCTTCCTGAGATACTTACCTTTTTTGGCTTTGGCTTCTCTTCTTGGCAATTTCCAGAGTTTGTTCTGATATCCAGTTTGCTTTCTTCTTGTTTTATATAATTTTTATAGAATTTTTTTAAAAAAACAATAATAAAAGACAATACAAACTAAACTCAGAAATAAAAAAAAATAAAAGGAAGAACAGAAAGTGCAAGAAAAAAAAGGAAGAGGGAAAAATAAGAAAAAGAGAAAAATATTTAAAGAAATGACTTCCAATCTTCATCACAACAAGTACAAATAAATTCTTCACCTCCTATAAGGTCACATGCAGGTATCACTTCTTCCCCTCACCCATCCTTTATCCATATACAAAAACATTAACATTTCAGTTCTGGTGTCAGCAAAAACTTTATAAAGGGTTACCAGAATTGTATAGAAAAATGTCTTATTTTAACCTTGGTTAAACAAACCAACTTTATATACCTTCCTTTTACTTCTAACAGTCTCAATCTTTAATTCATTCAGGTGTTGCAGGATTTGATCTCTCTTCAGTTTTTTTCTTTTTCCCATTTCAAAGGCTTCTTTGAGACTTTAGCAAACCTCTTTTGTAATTCCAGTAAGGAATCATTATCCAGGTCATTCTCTTGGCTTATCATTTGTATTTCCACTTTAACTGTCATCTCTGCCTTATAATCCACATTTTTTAAAATTTTCAGTATTTCAACAATTTCTTTATATTCTAATATTTCTGCATTAGAGGAGGTTTGTTTCAGCTCTTTATCCTGTAGATCTTCCAAGGTATTCTCTTTCATATCTATCATTTCTTGTTTAACATCTTTTGGAAACAATCTATCCATAGATGCAGACATCATTGCTGACATTGTAGCTACTATTTTCTGTCCCCATTCTTCAAATATTTCCTGGAGTATTTCAAATGTCATACCATTTTCTGTCATTTTGTCCCAATGCTGACCCAAAGACAAAAAGCAAGCCTCCCTCTCCCTCTCTCCCTCTCTCCCTCCCTCTCTCTGTGTTTGAAGATTGGCTTGGACCATAAACAAACTGAAACACAAAATCTTTCTTGCTCTCTTTTGTAGCAGCCTACGTTTCTGTCTTTTTTGTTACAAAGCACCTAATAATTTCTAAACATATATATCTTGTATTTTACCATTCCTGTATCTGTCTTTATAAGTTGATTTACAGTATACTCATTTGTTTTATTTTGAACAGCCAAAGATAAATCTGAGAAAATATTTGCCCTGGCGTTTGTTAAATTAATGCGCTATGATGGAACAACCCTACGGGATGGAGAACATGATCTTATAGTATACAAGGTATTATCTAAAGTATATGCTACAACACTTTGAGGAGCCAAAGGTTTAAGAGATGGATGTTTTTGTTCAAAGTGATATAGAAGAATAATTTCAAACATGTGATCACATTTTGTTATATTGTCAGTTTCAAACATAAGAGTATGTATTAGAAGGAAGAGTAAACGTTTTTCATATAGGTGTTTAGTAAAAATGAGACATCTCATTGAACAGTTTAAGATTTCGTGATGCACATACAGTACATGGAATATTTCTCTTCCTTGTTCCTTCCAGACTTTGTATGTTATAATATTGTTGATTTGCCACTGGAGTTGAAACAGTGTTACATTTGCTATGTGACATGCTTTTGATCTACTTTTAAAGGCAGTGAAGAAGTACAATGAACTATGACATTGTTAGGAATGAAATAAACAGTTAAATGTGTCTGTGTTTAAATACCGTGAGATGTCAGTATAAAATTATTTTAATACGTATTTTGTTCTGGAATAATGTTGCAGGCAGAAGCAAAGAAGCTAGAAGATTTTTCAACATATTTAAGCTTGCCCTCTACTAAACTGGAATTGGAAGAAAAAGGTCACTCAATGGCTGGCAAGGGCATGCAAAATCTTGGAAGCTGTACCATCAGTAAAGATTCATTCCAGATCTCTACTCTAGTCTGTTCAACAAAGCTAACTCAAAATGGTAGGAATGATAATACAGTTCTAGAAAAAAAAAGTCATCCAATTTGTGTGTTGTAAAGATTAATGCTGACAATTTCAGTTCTGAGTCACCCTTTCATATTTGGATATGGATGGCATTCAGAAATAAAATATGAAGTGTTGCATATTTTATGCAACCTGGTCAACCTTTTGAAATGCTTTTTGGCAATGGCTTATTTGAAACATCTAAAACAAAAATAGAGAATGTATGACCCTTTTGATAATTTTGGACTGCAACTTGCATCATACCTGACCATTGGTCATGCAGGTAGGACTGGTGAAGAACTACACATTTAACACAAATATGAGTGAACAGCAGGGGAACAATGATGGAGATTGGATGCTATCTGTGGCTTCATATAGAAAATAAATATGAATAGACTGCGTTAAAAATACCAGAGTTTAGGTATCTTCACATATACGGGAAAAGTAGAAGAAAAAATTGACTACTCATATTTTGCTATATAAAATACATGTGAGCTTTCCTGTTTTTAAAGATCACGTGTATGTTTTGTTTAAACCATTTATCAGTAAATTCCCCTATATTTCTCATGTAAAGATATGAATACATTAAGCATAAAGTGATAATTAATATTTAAGAAATTCTGAGTTATGTTGCTTTTATACTGCTTTAGAAAACATTATTATTTCTGTGGCTAAATCTATTTTTTATCCATCAAACAGACTTGCAGCATGGTTTGCTGTCAGGAAGCTCAGTTGAAAATAGGGATGGGGAATTTCCAGTTCACAGTAGAGATGCAGCTCATGGCATTTCCTCATCTTGCCTGCCAGACCTGGCTTTGTCTTCCCAGGGTAGGGCTGAGAATAACTCTTTCTCAGCAAGAGCTCTAGCAGCAGCTGCTTGCAGACAAGAATTTTTTCTGTTCATTGCTGTGACAGAAATAAAAAATAGAGGGAATACAGAGGGGTGGGATATAGTTTGTCTTGGACAGAGTTTTCAGCTCTTTCTGAATCCCATCATCTGAGATTGTCCATATCTTTCTGCACTGAGGCAATTCCACCTTTAGAACACATTAGAATTCTGGATTGGGATACAATTGTAATGTATCCATAGGGCGCGATAGCATCAACTGGAAAAATTGCTACTATTAGATAAAATATCCTGTTTTCTATTCCTGTTGGCCCAAACCTCTTGAGGAGTGATATAGATCAATAAAAATTGAAGGATGGTAGAGAAATATTATACACCTGCTGTGTCCCAGGCATTACAGTGCTACATTGAGACAGCAGTACTTCATGGAGCCCCATGTTAGTTTCCCTGTCAATAATCCCTTTCCTGGTGATGGTTCACCCCCATAATTATTTTTTGAATCTGATTCATTATTTTATTTCCTCCTGGCTTGTTGGAATCTTTATAGAAAATAAATCTGAAGAAAAACATTCTTGCTTCAAGGATAATGAATTAAAGAGGTGGAGTAAAAGGAGTCCTGTTACTTCTCTGATAAGCTTGAAATGCTGTGATAGAAATGGATAGGAAACTGTTGTTTGAGAAAGCAGGTAAAACTTTGATTACCAGCTCTTACAACTGGATAAAAAATTAATTCCATTGAAAAATTCATTTCAGTAAATTAGGGAATGGTTCTAAGTTGCTCAGTATAACAAATATTTAGAAATGGATATATAATGTTATTTATTACCTGGACACATTGAGTAATTGAGTAATGCAAGGAAGAAGGAATTTCATATCAGAGTGTCTTTTTTGGCAACTGATCTTTGAATCTGATATCTATATCTACATTTAATTTAAAACATTTTCTTTTGGAATTCCATCTGCAGAATGATTTGCATGAAATGCAAATCTTAACTAAGTTATAGCTTTGTAATTCCCCTTAGTGTACTAAAGCTGATAATAACTCTGTGGTGATACTGCCTTTATTGGTAGACAAAATCATATTGACTTTAGAGAGTTATTTCTTTCTTTTTGATGTTTTATATTGTGTGTTAAAATGGTTTTATAGTTCTTTTTAGTATCTCTGGAACTGGGTTTTTACAGTTTCCATATGTTAATACAAGTTGTAAGTTTGAATGAAAGTTGACACTGCATTTATATTGATATTTAAGTTCATCTTTAATAGAATTTTTTTTCTCATATTCAGTTAATTGTGATAGGATTCTGAGAGGCACAACATCCTGAACTTCTGCATTTATATGATAGAGGTTTTTTTCTTTTAATGATTTTTTAAAATTTAACTTTTACCTTCTGAACTGTTTAGAAGCCATATATTTCAAGGAAGGCATCATGCTGTAAAGCATTTTTTAGACATATTCCAGTTAACAGTATATATCTGTAAGATTTGTTTACAAGCTCCATGCCACCTTATCACGCATGATCAACTGAAAGTAACAGTGAATCTCTCTCTCTCTCTCTCTCTCTCTCTCTCTCTCTCTCTCTC